AAGCTGTTAATTGAAGGAGAGGAGGTTGCTCATCCCTCTCCTGTGAAAAAGCTGGTGGATTCTAACTGCCTGCCTTTGAGATTACAGTACAGCTTCTTGCCCCTAGGCCACCAGACCTCCAGAACGACAGTGTAGAAGTGTCTGTGAAGTTTCCAAGGCTATAAATAACAGAAGAGGACTTCTTGTGCTGTACGGCTGGTAGGTTCAAAAGATTGACCTTGTGGTTAGCAGTGGAATTCCTTAGCCACAGTGCTACCAGGACTGCTGTACGGACACCATAGGCAAGAATAAAAGGGAATTGACTAAATGAAAAATAAAAATAAAAATTATAAGGCAGAAAAATTATTGTGTAGGTTCCTATAATGGTAGACACGTAACATTAGGCATTTGTCAAAACTGACAACACAAAAAGTGAACCCAAGTGTGAACTCTAGTTAATCACAATGTGCTAATATTGGTTACTTAATTGTAACAAAAGCATGGCATAAATTTAGTAGGGATAACAATTTGCAAGGTGAAAAGGGAATTTATGGAATCCTCACTTCCTGTGTAGTTTTCCTCTAAACCTAAATTGGTGCTAAAAAGGTGAGGGCTATTTTTTAAAATAGAGAAATTTTGAAAGCATAAATCAGATTAGTTTGTGAAACTTAGATTCTAAATTAAATCCCAGTCATGGGAGACCTTTAACTGATAAACATAACTGGGTTCTTAGTAATGGTTCCTTTATTTAATTCCTCTGTGTTCAGTGTTCCTTATCATTACAGTGTTTAGAGAGATTTTGAGCTTGTTCTGGAATTAATCTCTGTATATAGCAAAACTTACAAATTTTTCATTGTAACAGAAGAACACTCATTAAAAACCCACTGCCTACTATGAGGGAATTCCTACTCATAGCAACACTGCAGGTTAAAGTAAAATTACCCTATGATGTTTCTGACAACTGCCTCTTGGTCCAAGTTAGGTTGTTCTGAGATTCCCATTCTTCTCAGAGTCAGCAAGGAAACACTGCATGGTTCAAAATTGCGAAGGGCATATGCCAGGGATGTGTCCTGTCTCCATACCTTTTCAACCTGTATGTAGAACAGATTTTCCGGGAGGCTGGGCTCTGTGAGGAGGAAGGAATGTGGGGTCAAGATTGGTGGAAGATCTATCGACAATCGCGATATGCAGATGACACAACCCTGGTTGCTGAAACTGAGGAGGACCTGAAGCGCTTGCTGCAGAGGGTCAAGGACTGCAGCCTCCAATATGGATTGAGGCTTAATGTCAAGAAGACAAAGATTCTCACCATTGGACCAATTGGCAGCATCAGGATGGATGGTGAAGAGATTGAGATTGTTCACAGCTTTAGTTTGCTTGGCTCCACAGTCAGCACTCTTGGCACCCGTAGCCAGGAAATTAAAAGACGTATTGTGATGGGAAAGTCTGCTGTTAGGGACCTCTCCAAAGTACTGAAGAGTAATGGTGTCTCTCTGGAGACTTAGGTGCATCTGATACAGGCCATGGTCTTTGCAATCACTTGTTATGCATCAGAGAGTTGGACAATGAAGGAGAATTGATGCCTTTGAGCTCTGGTGCTAGAGAAGAGTATTGAGGGTACCATGGACTGCTAGGAAGACAAACAGATTCATCCTGGAAAGGGTCAAACCGGGAGGCTCCTTGGAGGCAAGGATTCTGGGGCTCTGTCTAACATACTTTGGACATGTTGTGAGGAGGGACTGGTCCTTGGAGAGGGACATCATGCTTGGTAGGATGGAGGGACAGCGCAGGAGAGGAAGGCCCTCTATGAGGTGGACTGATTCAGTGACTGGGGTAATTAGGATGGGTGTATTGGAGGTGGTGCGATTGGCACAGGACAGAGCAGAGTTTAGGGCTGTTGTACATAGGGTCGCTATGAGTCACAAATGACTCAATGGCACATAACAACAACAACAACAAAAACAAAATGATGTTTCTAAGGTTACAAATCTTTATTTAAGTAGTGTGTCTCATCTATATTTAATTGCATTGTTTTGCTAAGTGCTATGGTGAGTTTAGGGAGCTCTGGTGGCCTAGTGTTAAGGAGTTGCACTGTCAACCTGAAGACATCTGCTCTGCAGAAGAAGTATGTGTGATTCATTGCCTCTGAAAACCCCTGGAGGGTTGGTTCTGACTCAAGGGTATCTAACAACAACAACAACAGCCTGATGTGTTTAGAAACAAGAGTTCAGAATGACTGATTTATGCTGTGAAATGAAAGAATAGAGTCTTTGGGCTAATCTAGGATATTAAGAGTAGGAAGAGAGGAGAGGACAACTTCTCTAAAACTTTTCCTGTTTTTTGTGTTTCTTTATGCAACTGATTTCTTCATTATGATTTGATGTAAGGATAGTTATTGGATATTCCCTGGTTGCTATTCCTGTTCATATTAATTTTTTATTTTCTAAGAAAATTGTATATGATTCTGTATCTTGGATAATATGTAGCAAAGCTAAATTAACTTATTAAATTTATTGAACAAAAAAGAATATTAAGTCTGTGGTGGGGCATTGGGGGAGAGAATAGGGAAAGAGTGGATAAATAATGAACACTGCATTAGAACAGATGAGGGGAAGAACTGTCTGAAAGTAACATATGATTATGCCCTGTATGCATGAGAACCATCTGGAACAAGGGGCGCATTGTGGGGTGAGCTTGGGGAGGGGCAGAGAATGGGAGGAGAAAATGTGTAACAATAAATAAAGAGAAGCAGATGAGTATATTATTAAGGAAAGAACAGAAACTGATTGAAATTTATTCAGCATATGACTAGCAAAATGGGGCAACATTTCTACCTAGAAAGTCATAAAATCCAAAGAAGAAAGAACTTTCAAAGTTTATTGCTCATAATTATGAATTGTTTTGGAAATAGGGCTAGAGTAGTGTATATATGAAAACTGGTGGATGTGCAATGATTTTTTAAAAAAAGAACTGTTAAAATCATTACCAATGTAGATTATTGTCTGCTCAAGAGGGACCAGAACTTGGACAAAGACATGATAGGAAAGGTAGAGCTTCACAGGCAGAGAGGAAAGTCCCCAAGAGGATGGAATTGACACAGTACCTGTAAAAATGGGCCCCAGTAAGGCAGAGATGGCGCAGGATAGGGCTGGGTTCTGATCTATTGTTCATAGGATCACTGTGAGTCATAGTCTACTGGACTGATACATACTAACAAAAACAAGTAGATATTTAGAGTTTCTTTTGTTGAAATTGATTGTACACAGATAACCCTTTAATAGAGCATAAATCCAAGGCAAATTTTTTAACTAACTTAGATTTTGATGATACTGAAAAGCAATGATGTCAATTTGAAGACTTAAGGTGCTCTTGATCCAAACCATAATCCTTTAAGCTACTTGCTAAGCAGCTGAAAGTTGGACAATGAATAAGGATGACAGAAGAATAATCCATGTCTTTGAGTTGTGGTGTTGGAAAAGAGTATGGCATATTTATTTTATGGATTGCCAAAAAACCCCCAGACATGTATATCTAAGAAAAAGTGCAGGCTCTTGAAGGCAAGGTTAGTGAAACTTCATCTCACATTCTTGAGACATGTTGTAAGGAGGGTTTAGTCCATAGGAAAGGGCATCATGCTTGGAAAGGTGGAGAATTAACGAACACGGATGAGATGAATTGACACAGTGAGTATAACAATGGGTCCAAGTATATCAGGGATGATGAGGATGGCACGGGAAAGGGCAGGGCAGGGTTCAGATCCATTGTTCATAGGGTAACTATGGGTCATAGTTGATGCAACTGCACGTAACAACAACAACAACTGGTGGCTGGTGTTGTAGCCCTTAGGGAATTTCCTTGCTAACCCAAAGGCCATACCTCTATGGAGATTGGAATCTACCAGCAGCTCTGTGGAGAGATGGAGGAATTTCCTCCTGTGAAATTTACAGCCTTCAAAAACCCACTGGAGGGTCAGTTAGGAGTAAGTTTGGAGTCAATGAGTTTGAGTTTTCAGATAGCTCAACTTAAAGAAAACCAATTTTTCAAGAATTAAAGTTCTAAGATTACCTCAGAGCAATGGATAGTTTGGGCTCATCATTTCAATCAGTAGCCATGGAATGCCTAAATGTGGATATACCATAAATCTGGATTTCATGAGAATTATGACTTTATTTTCATATTGCGGCTGTGTCTAGTCATAGAAAAGACATTTATATGTGACATTTAAGATTAAACAGGACACATGTAATATGGATGCATTTTATTATAATTGATACCTAGTCAGCTCAGTCTCATGGCATCTCATGTAAAAAAGGGTCAGATTACAATAGATTGAGAGTTTTGGGAACTTGCTTTCAGGTGAGGGCCAGAAAAGGAAAGGTAATAGAGTTAATAGAGTTTTCTTGAATACTTTTCTATACAGTATACTTAATGATGATTTGTCAGAGTCCTCAATGGAATAGCCTGCAGTTCCGTGGTACACTGAATTTAGTATTCTGAGAAATCTCACCACAGTAATTATTTTCTCTTTAATTAGATGTAATTATTGTGAAGGATAGTAAGAAGCCCGTCCATATTCAAAATCAAACAAGCCTTTCCAGAAGTATAGTAGTATTGTAGCTACAAATGTTAAATGACTGGGAAAAATACAACCCATAATTATAAGCAGGAACAGAGAGGGAAGCGTGGGTAGTTGGTAATACTTCAAACAGCTTCGCAAGATGCTAGAGATGTATAGTGAGGGGCATCCAGAGAAGTAAATAAATTAATTGGATTAGAGCAAAGACAGGGAAGGTGAAGGAAGAGCATAAGCGGTGGGTTAATTTGAAGGCTGTAGACAGTAGCCACACCTAACTCTTGGGCCCTAGGTACCCTTTCCTCTTTCCCAGGGCCACGCTCCACCCTTGACACCGCCCCTCCAGCCCTGGCCCCGCCCACCATCCCTGCGCCCGGCGGGTCTCGGCTGAGGGGCGGGGCCGCCGGGCCGGGAGGAGGCGCGCTCCCGAGCGGGCGGAGGATCCGCTGCGGAGTTACGGGAAAGTTGGTCCGAGTTCCCGGAGTTTCCCTCCGTGGTTCCCGGGGCCCGGCCGGCGGGTGCCCTAGATCCTTCTCTTCCTACCGCCCTTTCTGCCTCCCTGCTCCCTTCTTCTGTCCCCGGCCGCCATGGAGCAGCCGCCGGCACCCAAGAGGTAAAAAGCGTGCGGAGCCGGGCAGAGGGAAGCGGCCGGAGCGGGGGCGGCTAGGCCGGGATTGACCGCGACCCCTCCTGCCCTGCTGGGCCTCGAGGCGGGCGCGCCGAAGGCCGGGAGGCAGGTCCGAGTGTCCTGCCCGGGCCGCGCCTGTTCCCGAGGCGACGTCGCTGGACGAGAGGCCGCGACGCGCTTCCCCCGCGGACGGCCGGGCCTGGGCGCGTGGAAAGCCGTGCGGGCAGCGCCGGGCTCCCGCGGCCAGTCCTGGGGATCCGGGCAGGATCGCGTTCTCCCTCGTGGCGAGTCCACGAAGCCCAGGAGGCATGAAACTAGGAAATCATTGATCTCATTGTAATTGAGTTTGGTTTGAGTTACAGCCATACAGGCTTCCTTGTCACATGCTCTTCATAAATAAGCCTTTTCTTTCCTTTTTTTTTTTTTTTGAGAATGTGGGTTTATTTACAGTTCAAGAACTTAAAATATTTATATCTACACAGTCCATACAACTTTTTTTTTTTTTTAATTTATGTGGTGCACTGACAGGTGCCTCCCCCCTCCCCCCCAAGTCCTAAAGTATTTATGGATGCAAGACAGTAGGGGTCTTAAATTAGAATTACTCCCCCATATGGAGTTTTTTTGGGGGTTTGTTTTTCTTTTAGCATTTAAAAATAGGGAGTCGTTAGTATTTATTGCTAGATTATTTTTACTCTTTGGTATTCTATTGAAACTGTGAGAGTGCACAGATGTGTTTGAAGTAGTATTTGAAATGCTCTTTGGAAGCTAAGTAAAGATTTTCCATTGGTATAAATTCATAAAGGGCATTTATCCTCCAAGAATGAATTAGCTAATTGATATTGGATGGAACAGTTAACCTTTCTGTCTTCATGGATCATTTGTAACATAAGGGTTCTGATCTTTCAGATCATGCTGCTGTGAAAATTATAGAGTTCTTGTATGTTGATACTTTGAGATCTTGAGATGAAGTGTTTTGTTCAAGAACATAGATACTTAAAAAGGTAGAAACTTTGGGAGCTTTTGTGAATCGTGCAACTTGACATGTGAGCCTTGAGGCCTGGAAGCCATCTGTTCAGGTGAAAAGGAGGGGTAGGTGGAGGGGTTTCCAGAAGGGATCTTCTGTCAGTAGAATTGATGAATTATTTTCTAGCATTTTGTAAAAGTATCTATATTCTGTGTTGACTGATTGGAGATTCAGTTTTAAGGTGGTTGTTACTTGCCTGCCTTCAATTGACTGTGACTCATGTGACCCTGTGAACAACCAGTCGGAACCTTTTCCCATCCTGTACTTCATCATGATCTCCAACATGGTCAAGGCAGCTGTTACAGTCCCTGTGTCAGCTCACCTTGTAGAGATCCTCTTTTTTTCCAGCATGATGTCTTTTTCCATTGACTGGCTTCTCCGGACAGTAGGCCTCAGAGTTTCACCATCTTTGCCTCAGGAAAACCCCTCTGTGACAAACTCGTTTGTTCGTTTGACATCCTTGTGATGCTCAGTATTCTTCTCTAATACCACATTTCAAAGGCATTGATCCTTCTTTGGGCATACTTATTAAAGAATTCCTCTCCCTTTTCTCTTTTAAAAGTAATACAAGATGCCACCATACAGTGGCCTGCTGGTAAACTGTTGCACGCAGTTAGAATCCACCAGCTGCTCCCCTCCTGTGGGATTTACTGCCTCTGAAAACACACTGGAGGGTCAGCTATGAGTAGATTCCAACCCAGTGGCTCACACCCACAACCAATCATAGGCCAGTTTAAACAACTCTGAATTGAAGTAGATTCTTTCTATGTTATTAAGCTCTGCTATGAGTTATCAGAGTTTCATTTCAGGACATTAGCAAACTATAGATCAGTAGAATTCCATATGATTTATACTTTTCAAAGTGATAGTTGGATATTTAACAAACTTAGTTTTGCTTTTCTTCAGAGAGACTTGTATTGATCAAGGAAGACATTTCTGAACAATAAATGATGACAGTTATGTTAATTTCTTATATTTGAATGTCTTCAATTTTTTTGGATAACATTTTTATGTTCATAATTTTGCTTAATCCTCACAGTAACCCAATTGAATAGGTTGGGTTATAGGCATTCATCCATTTCATAGCTGAGAACACTATCAGTGTTCACCATTTGGAACAGTTTGATGGGATTTACTGACAACGTGTCTGTGTTGTTGTTATTGTTACCTACTAATAATATATCTACCATTTTGACCAAAGAAGAATTGATGCCTTTGAATTGTGTTATGAGGTGAAGAATTTTGAATATACCAGAGACGTCCTAAAGAACTAACAAATCTGTCTTAGAATAGGTATAGCCAGAATGCTCCATGGAAACAAGGATGGTGAGACTATCTCACATACTTTGGACATGTTAGTAGTCTTAGCACTCTAGATTAGAGAACTCTGGTGGCCTCGTGGTAAGGAGCTGGACAGTCAACCCAAAGACTTGTACTTTGAATCCACCAGCTGCTCTATAGGAGAAAAATGGGCAATCTCCTGAATAGCCTCAGAAAACCTACTGGAGGGTCTGTTATGAGTTGATTCTGAAGACATATAACAACGTTATCATCAGGTAGGGGGCTTGTCCCAAGAGGACATGAAAGAGAGTACCGCAGTGAGCTGAACTGACAGAAATGGCTGCAGCAGTTGATTTAAGCATGGCAGAGACTGTGAGGCTGTCACAGGATTGAGGGGTGCTTTCTTCTGTTGTATATAGAACTTCTGTGTGTGGGAGCCCATTCCACAATAATGAACAGCTACCACCACCGCCATTTGTTTAGAGCATACTCTTCACTTAGTCATTTTGAGTCAGTTCTGACTCAGAGCGACCCTTTATCAGGCTGTCCTCTCTCAGGTTTCCTTGGCTGTAAATTGTAAAAGGAGGATGCTGCCTATCTTTTTCCCTTGGAGCCTCTAATGGGTTTGAACTTCTGGAGACACATAGCCTTTGGGTTAGTAGCACAGCAGCCTATGAGTTACCAGAGCTCGCTTGTTCACTGGGAATTTGCTGTTTACTAGGAACTTACATTTGTTTGTGTAATCATAGTTAATGATAGAAATTCTAGCTCTGCACTTTGCTAGTTCTAAATTTAAATTTCTTCGTCTATAAAATATATTCTAAGGATTAAATGAGATAATAGTTAAAACATTTGGTATTGTAGTTTGTGTTGTTGTTGTGTACAGTAGAGTCAGAACTGCCTCATAGCTGACCCTCCAGCAAGTTTTCAGAGGCAGTTAATCAGATGGAGAAGATTGCCCATCCTTCTCCCGAGGAGCAGCTGGTGGCCTCGAACCGTGTGCCTTCTGGACTGTAGTGTAGCTTCTTGCCATAGTGTGTCTGATATCTTTATTGTTAGCTGCTTGAGTTTACCTCTCAATTAATGATGTCATGCACAACATGGCTTCCTTCCAGGTCCAACTTAGTCTGGAGTGCCTCTGAAACTTACTCTGCACTGTAGCAATCCCTTCACTGACAAATTGGTGGTGGTATTGGTTGCTAATTGAGTTCTGATCTTCCATATTGTTGTCAGGCACCACTGAATTGAGTACAGCTCAAAGCGATCATGTTAACAACAGATCTGAATCCTGACCTATCCTGTGCCATTCTCACCACCTCTGACATACTTGAGCTTATAGATGTAAGCTGTCACAGTGTCAGTCCATTTCTTGGAGTGTCTTCCTCGTTGTCCCCCCCCCCCGCAAGGAATAGCCCCCCTCCTTACAACCTGCCTAGAGTATGTGAGATGAGGCTTTATTGTCCTTGCCTCCAAGGAGCATTCTGGTTCCACTTTCTTCAAGACATATCTTTGTTTTTATGGCAGTTGATGGTCAGTCTCCTCTCATGTGATTAACTGCTTCTGAAAGCCCACCAGAGGGTTAGCTTCGGGTCAGTTTTAACAGTACACACAACAGTAGAATATTCAAACTCTTTTCCATCACCACTACCCAAAGGTGTCGGTCGATTCTTTTTCTGTCATCTTTATTTAATGTCAAGTCTCAGATGCATAGCAAGTGATTGACAAGACCGTGGCTTGAAACAGGTGCACTATAGTCTTTAAACTGAGATCTTTGCTCTTCAGTACTTTGGAGAAGTTCTTGACAGCCAACTTCCCAGTTCAGTATGTGTTTTGATTACTTGACTACTAGTACCAAGGATGTTGATTGTGAATTCAAGTAAGAGGAAATTGACATTTTAAATTTTTTCTGTGTCTATCATGATGTTTTCTGCTGGCCCAGTGGTAAGGATTTTTGTGTTGTTGTTTTTTTGTGTGTGTTGAGATATAGTCCATATTGAAGGTTGTAGTCTTTAATTTTCTGTAGCAAACATTCCAAATTCTCCTATAAAAGGTGAGAATTCTATCACTGAACCACTAATACTCTCTCAATACATTAGTTATTATGGTCAAGTGAATAATTACACGTGAAGTATTATAAGAATTATAAGTGACATATTACACACAAAGGCTATGCGCCCTCTTGGATCTAGTGATGCCTGTTTTTTCCAACTTCTCACTTATTTCTTAGTGTTCCATGTTATGTTATGTATTCTTTCCCTTAGTTCTTCTCCTATATTCTTTAGTCTTCTAAGATTATTACCTCCATATTCTCTCTAAAATTGCTACCTTATACTTTGGCTTTGAGTAGCTCTTTACATGATCATGTCTACAACTACTGGTGAAGTTTAGTCTATGTACCTAGCAGCTGCCCCATGATAATTATTTTTTATGTTCTTGTACATATCCTACTTTTTTCCATTAGCCTGTCTAGTTTGTCACTAGATTTTACATGTATCCATCAAAATGTCTGAATTCAAGCTTTTTTTTTTTTAAAAAAAATAAAATTCAGACCAAAACCAGACACTGCCATTGGATCAGTTCCAGCTCATAGTGGTTCTAGAGGGTGGGGTGGAACTGCCTAATTGAATTTTCAAGGCTGTAAACCTTAACGAGAACTAACTGCCCATCATTCTGTGGAGTG